AGTTTTTTGTATTTGCTTGAGCTGACAACTTCTAGGATAACTGTATGAGGTCAGCAGGTTTTTGTTTGCTCGGTGGTATTGAGAGTTAAACCTTATCTTTTCATTGTCTTAAGAGCAATATAGATTTCACATCTAAAAGTCAACGAGACAAAATATGTGCTGTAAGTTTTGGAATAAAGGTTTTTCTGGCTTCAACTTTAACCATGGAAAAGGACAACAGTAGAAAAGTACTTGGCTCACTTTTTTACATCTTTGATTTTCACATTTATTTTTGAATCAATTTCATTTTCCTTGTTGTTAATGGCAAGGGAGTCTATTGCTGTAGTCTAGACTCTGACATCTACCATTGGTGTCCAGTCCAAAACATTCTTTATCTTCCAGTCAAAGTCTATCAAACAATTGAGAACTGTTGGAAAATGGTTTGGCCACAACGTGCGCCATTAATCCACTCAAACAATACCTCATATCTGTTCCAGAAGTTAACTTTGTTTGCAGCCTGTATGTATACCGACACAATTACACATTAAGTACATGCTTAATCTGTTGCTTGGTTGATATTTGCTTATACACATAATCATTATAAGCCTTCACAGTATATAACAGAATGGACATCATTTGAATTAAACAAGTTGGATGGACTTCTGCAGACAGATTTGCCACCGTCATTTTTTCCTTGAGTCTCCTCTGGGTTTTCCTATTCCTCTCCTTCTCTCTGTCCACATATGGAGTTTTCACCACAACTGCCCTCAATAAAGTGATTCAGTTTCAACGTTTCAGTGAAGAAAAATAGCACATGTCTCGATGTGGGCACACAAAGGTTCTGACTTATAATCCTGTTCCACTAGTTTGACAGCAGCATCCCACATAATACACCGAAACAGACACACACTCTCTCTTTCAGCCTTTTCTATATTCCAAACTTCTTCAGGAGGTAAGGAAGGAATTCAGCCCCTGATGCTCTTAAACCTGCCCCATCATCCTCTGTCTGAGGAATGCTTTAGAAGAGAAAGAAAGAGGAAAATTAGTTGGCAGGGTGAGAGGAGAAATTATATTCTAAGCATTACCTAATTTGTCTTAAGATGCCAGGGTAATTTCGGAGCAAGCCTTGAGCATAAAGACTTATTTTTTTGTCATCATCTCCCCGTTAGCCCCTTCACCTGTTTGCACGACTCTCTCACTATAACTATTACTCCCATTTTTCTCTGTTTATTTCCCGCCGTCTTTCTTTCTTTTCAGTGTGTCATTATCTAATTGTTTTACTTAGCACATGCGTTGCAAATATTAGAATTTGAAGGCAAGTTGCAACACTCTTGATTCAGGGCTAATACTAAGTTCTGAATTAAAATGTCTGAAGGAAAGGCACTTTATACTCTGGTGTCCATACATGTAATCATGTGACCTTGAAATATTTACAACAAAAATGTTTAAATTAGCCAAATTGTCAAACGTTTGAGTCCGACCATTATCACACACACTTTAGATTGATGCTGATCATAAAAGAGGCTGATACAGCCATTTATCCGTTAATAGATTTCTCAATATTCTTTGCTACACTAGACTTAAATGTAACAAGGTGTAACAGGTGACATAAGTTTGGAAGAGGTAGACGTGACAGTCTGATTGACAGTCGAATGTTTTTACCAAAAGCATTTATTTATTTCTCTTTTCTTTCTATCAATAGACTCATCTGAATCTGACACAGCAGCCTCGTGAAAGTCATTGAGTTACATGTCAGAGAGAGAAGGCTGAGCTATAAGAGAATAAAGATATCTGTCCTTGTGGGATAAAGACACTCTATATTTCTGCTTTTTACTAAACATAAAGGTTGCTGCTATTGAAATATTACAGCCACTTTCTTCAGTGTACCATGTGTGATGGATCATGAGTACACATTTTTGAAAGTTTCTTAGGCTTTTGACTACAACAATAGACCATACTGTGTCTCAAATCCACTCTCTTGTTCATGTAAGTGTCCTGAGTCCTTTTATGCTAGAACATATTGTTTTCAGTTATAATATTATGTTTATCTAAAATTAACTTGCACGTCTTATAGCAGCATATAATGCGTGTTCTGCTTCTACTCTACAGGATACTGCTTAAAACACTCATTCAAACTCAGAGCTGGTCCTCAGTGCAGCAACTGTCAATCACAAAGTAGATAGAGGGAGAGAAAATTCACTACATATTATGAATTCAACAGTCTTTGTTGCTCATATTGGAACATGGCGTATCTTTCATTCTGTAGATACTGTGCCAGGACAAATTATACATTTACTTCTTCACTATGCTGCTGGAATACGACAATTAAGGTGACATTTCAACAGAAAGAAGTGACACGAAGAGTTTCTGTTCTGCCGTTCCGACATTGTCAAAACAAGCCAACAAACTGCATTGGACGGCAGCCAACCAACAATTCTTAAGCAGCCTGACGGTGGTCTCCACAGTGACGACACCTTAATTGATTTAGTCTCTAATTAAAAGGCTTTAAGGACAGCTGGGCCAAGCAGCATTGTGTTAAACGTCCCCTGAACGGAACGGTTATTAGCTTAATACCCAAATGGTTATCTTAAGGATGTCGGTACAAACATTGTGCTGTTCAGCAGAGCATTTCCTCCTTAGAATGTGCACTGCATTTATTTAAGTTCTTTACTGTTCATTCTTTATTCAAATACTATATCTTAAAACTCAAGCACTCATGAATATGTCACACAAATATTAAATAGTTTAAGGTTATTGAGCAATGATATTTTGGACAGCAAAACTGTAACAAGACTGGTTCGGCAAAACACACAACAGTGATGCGTGATCTTATTTTTCACAAAACCAAATGTACTTATTCCTGTAATGCGAAGCAGTAGAATAATGTCATTAAAGTGGTATGAAAATTCCCAGTAGTACACAGTATATATACAGCTAAAGCAGAAAATATGATTTTTAGTGTGCTTCCTGCAGCAAATGCATCGCCTAAGCAAAGTTTCACATTTCAGCCTCAAATCAGGCAGGACACATAAAGTGCCTGTCAACAAGGTGTAATGTGAGCCAATCTATAACTATAAAATGCAATACTGGAACCAGCATGTAATGTGGTTCACCTTTTTTCAAAGTAATCCTCTTGTACATTACTGACCATCTATGAAAACTAAGCCATCCAGCTTTTCTCTATTGCTTTCATTTTTTGCGGTGAGCATAAGTGATATGTTTTAGCTGTTTCCACTAAAGAGCCCTCTCCAGTTTCATGGAGCCTGGCGGTCTGTTATGGTTTCACATGACTCATTTCACTTGTAGCCCTCATTTCACTCACTCAGGCCTGAGTGAGAGGGGGGGACACATTCACATTAAGTACAAATGTAATGCACAGCAGATGTAATGAATTAAAATATCGTGTCCCCTTCCACTCTCCCTTGCAGTTAATGTTAATCCATAATCTGGTAAATATTGCAGAAAGCAAACATATATTCTTACTCATAATGATGTTCACACTGAAACAGGGTAACTGTTGACATTTATACAGGAAGTTTTGTGAGGGTCATTATTTTCCTCATTAATTGTTCCTGTCAGTTTAAGGCCTTGACTTTCTGTTCATCTACTCTTAAGTTTTACATAAATTATGTAGCAGGGTAGGAAGGTTTAAAGTGAAATATCTCATCAACAACTGAATTAATTGCTATGAAACTTTGTACATAACAATATTCTTGATATCCAGAGGATCCATTTTGATGGATTTAGTATTAGGTAACTGGCAGGGTAAAGTCTGTTCGACGTTTGGTCAAAATTAATTGGACATTTGCGTTCTCAAATACAGCTCTTCTGGGTAATCTCTAGATCAATTCAGGGTTGCAGTGCATGTGTCAGAGGACCTTAGTCTTGTTTCATTATTATACCCTACATTGAGCTTTGCATTGTCAGTTTACTTATAGTTATGAAAATGTTGTCTTTTCATGTTTCTTTTGGGGTGTTGAAGGCTCAGTAGACAACTGGTTAAAGGTCACCTTTGCTGTCAGGTGTGTTGAGTGACACACAAGAGTCTGGTGTTAATGGCATGGTTATTAGTTACCTTCATCACCACAAACACCCCCCCATTCCTCCTACCACCTCTGAACATGTCTCTAATGGTTGATCCTCCATATGAAGGTCAGCTGTGAACCGGGATTGAGCCTTCTCATGCATTTGTATTAGTGTCCATGTGTGCATTTATGCATATACAACCCTTAAGGATGCTCCAAAACAAAATGAGATAATTATGTGTGTCTATAGTTCGTCATGTTCAACAAATATTTTTATTCACGCCACTTGCTAACCCCTTATACTCCAAAGGATCATTTGTTGTGGTGTCAGGAGAGCTTCTTGTTAGACATGGTGTGATGGAACAGAGACCACCTTGATGAAGGTTGACAGCAGGAAGGACCGGCAGGTGGTCCAATTAGTTGGCCCCATGCTGGAAGGGGGGAACATCATAAGGAGCGGTGTCTTATACTCTAGTCAGGGAAAGGAACTGTGTCCTAGTACCATGTGAGATGGTTTCTATAGGTCGACAGGATTACAGTTAGATAAAGTGCAAATACAGATGATGTTTCTAATGACTATATTAGATGACTAGTGTAACTTTAAAGAAAATATATTTATAACAGAAAAACATGGTGTAAGAGTAAATTGAGCTCTATCCAAATAGAAATACATTTTGCTGTATAAAGGAAATAGCACAAAGCTAAAAAAAATTGTTTTGTTTTTCAAGGCTTTCTCTCTACAATGCTCCTCTTAATTTTGAGTGTAATGAAATGTAACACGCCAGCTTCCCAGACAGGTTCCTTACTCTACAACACCCACACCTCTATTTGATTATCCCAGGATTCTATGTATCATCTGTTGGGCCCTTGCTAACATTTACAGGCATTGACACGTCAGAGCAGAAAAAGGGGGCGCGGGGACATGATGTTGAATATTTTAGTGGGAAAAACTGCTGCTAGTAAGTGATAAACTTTGTATTATTGTTTGTTGTCCAGGAGACCCAGGAGAAGTTTCCTAAGCTGGGCCAGATGGAGGCCTGGGATGAGTTGGGCAGTGGGGAAACAGATGAGGGCAGCACCACAGACTGTGACGATGAAGATGGCTGTCAAGCCTCAGGAGACGGTCAAGAACATACTTGTAAGTAGTATATGCCCATGACTGCGTGCACAAAAACTCACACAAGCCATTTTGTCCTGTCACGTTCTTTGAATTTGTGTGACAATTTTGGCGTCTGTATTTACAAATAGAAGTAGGCACAACCAGAGCTTAACTTGAACTTTTACTGTGCTCTACATTCAATCGTCTGATTTAGCCAAGGAGAGATCAAGACATTATAATTCCTCATTTTTCTTTTGCTCTATAAGCTTTAGACTCTTTTCCACAATGCACTCTATCATTAATCTTATATACAGTATGTATATGGAAAGGGATATTCACTTTAAAACACATTTCACACTCTGTCTTCCTCGCCTATTGTGTCTCCTTGATGCTACAATTTGGTGGGGAGGAGGTTTCCTCAAAATCTGAGAAAACAAGCCGGTTCGTTTTAATATCCGCACACACACACACACACACACACACACACACACACACACACACACACACACACACACACACACACACACACACACACACACACACACACACACACAGAACTACAAACACGCACACACAATGTAGTGAGGAGGTGTTGGGGCTTGTGTTAGCTTTGATTAGAATAATTTGATCTCCTGTGGTACCTTCTCGTTAACCATCCCTAATTATCATGTTGTTTCTCGACTACAAAGTTAAACAAAGGAGTTGTTTTGAAGCTTTTTCTTACTACCATTGAGGAGTAAGAGGAACATGGAAGGGAAAATACTCTCTTATACAAGTACACTGAGATGCACACAAGCAAGTTTTGCACTTACTTGTTAACTTGTCTTACTATGTTAAACTCATAGTTGCCTTATGATGGTTTCACAATTTAGATACATCATTATAGATGCCAAAAATGAGCACAACAGATCCTTGAAAAAGATAAAACAGACATTCATTCAGTCATTACACAAACAATCAATTGATCTCTTTTAAATAACTTTAGTCACAGCATAATCACATTTTGCCACATCATTAAAATTGCATTTTGGCTCTTTTGACACTAATGACATTATCATTTGGCCTTTACATGTTCAACACTCAAATTAACATTTTACAAGTTCTAATCCTGTGTTAGAATTGCAATCCTCATGATTTTAATCCTCGTTGATAAATAATCTGTAGGGCGCTTCATGTGTTCAGAATTCTGTGCTTTTTTTGTATTGGTGTGTATTAGTGACTCAAAAACGTGTACCGTAACAAACATAGAAAAATACTTCATATGTGGCTCGTACAGTGTGTGTCCACTATAGCAAAACTTAACAAATCATGTTATCAAGGAATGTCACCAGACACACCCAGTTTGTAAAACTGAAAATATAAATATTGCAAACTCTGGGGGCATAGGCTCAATCATCATTGTGTTAAATCCTTCAAAGATAGATGATAAGTAACTTAAGTAAAACTCCCGTTCTGAGGCGGTGGGTCACAGTGGGATGTTGGGAGGCATAACGTCTTCTGCAGCTCCCTTCTTCTGTTTCTGTCAATAGCTCTGGATGGTATTGGCTGGTGTGCTCTCAAAACTACGGCCTAGTTTTACCAAAGGATAGCGAGAAGGCTATCCACACCACAATGCAGCTTATATACCAATCAATAGCCATTACATTGCTAGTTAAACACAGCTCTCTGCTTTGCTCCTTGTTGTTGATGTGGATAAAACATGCCAGCCTTTCAGCAGTATTCCAACAGCAGGGGATAATCAATCAAAACCACTGTCAGAGATTTACAGGACAAAACCCATTAGTCTCTGCTCAAAGTAGAAATCAATATCCTGGTGAGTCCTGTTGCCTGCACAGATGTTCCTAAGCCTTTAAAATAATATGTGTCATCCAGATACAAAATCATGGTTCTTGAAAAGATGGGATTTGCTTATTGGTAACTATAACAAATTACAGCAAAGGCCTTGTTTTAGACAACAGGCAGTCACTTATCCTGTGACGCATGGACAGCTCATATCTGTAATTTTCACCAGCCTGCCTATTGGACTTGGGTGTATTGTTATGCAATTTCCAAAGCTTTGAAGTGGATAGCGACTGTTGTTCTTCAGTTACTGCTGTACTCACACTCGTCAAGCTCTTTGAAATTACAAGCTTGGGGGAAAAAATAAGTTTTTACATGTTTATTTACAACAGTTTTGAAAGAAGAGCTCACTATCAGGCATTTTTTTTGACATTGAACACTGAAGTGATGTTCAAAATGGATGACATTCCAATGCACATTCAATGGCAATTATATTATATCAAAGGGAATAATATAATTCCGTCATCATAATTTTCACTAGCAACATTTGATCATGTTCGGTTGCTGTTAACCGCTTAGAGTATTTATTAAACTGTAGGTTAAATAAAATGTATTATTTGTATTATTATTCTTTAATGACTTTACAAATATTTGACAAACTGTTACATAAATACATCAACTTTAAGACGTTTCAAAGGACTAAATTAGTTTTATGATGATAGTGTTATAGGAGGCACATTTTAGCTTCCATCCATCTGCAGACTTTTTTACCCCTGTGTAGCTCTGGCAGAGCTCCCGAGGTCCGTGTTAAAAGGGGGCATGACCGCCCGCTATTATGCTGAGAGAGAATTCATTACCAAGCTAATGAACAGCGCTAATCTGCAGAGAACAGACTCACTGTCTCTGTCATCACTCAGATGTGATGGAATTCCTGCAAGTCTCACTAAGGTGATTGCCTATAGCTTCCTTCTTACTGAATGCATGTTTCAAGATTCAAGGCTTTTATTGTCATTTGTACATACAGCTACAGTGTAAATGACAACGAAAACTGTTGTTCAAAGGCTCCTCCAACAGTGCGACACAATAAAACAGACATAAAAAGGTCTGGAGAGGAGCAAAAGACACAGCAGCCATCATCACCGGTGCCATTTTTTTGTGTAAGAATGCAGATGCTTCTACAAGTGGGCAACTATGAAAACACAGCACCATGTTAATATTTGAAACTGTAAGGAAGGCTTAGTCAATTATTGATGGACAAAAAACCGAAAAGACAAGAGTGGGAAAGTATAAATATTTTTACATACTTCAATTAGCTGTATGCTTCTAAAAGAAATTGCAGTCTGATTGCATGGTGTCATGCCAGTTTTTCTTTATTATGATCCTGCTCCTCTTGCCTGGAGACATAGTGTACTTTGTGTGCCAACTAAACAAGGCCTAGTCATGTACCAACTGCCATAATCACAGCCATGAACAGGATAATAAATCAGTGAATCTTTAATGAACCATATCATCTCTCTGCCCTGCAGCTACTGTACAGTATGAGAGCATTTTCTGTAGTGCATTTTGTGGCGTGACTCTGGCTTATTAACTGTATTAGCCGGGGAACACTTAAGGCTGATCCTTCCAAAGGAGCTATTCATTTGTTGCTAGCTCATTAATGTATTAATCTCTGAAAGAACCACAGTGGCACATTAGACCACTATCTCTCCATTAGGGAGAGGGAGCAGACTCCAAATGTCTGTGCATCAAAAGGTAGAACAGTACTTCATTTGTCTGTCTGCTTCTGTGAGTTGAGCTGCCTTCTCTCTGGCAGAGTAGGCGCAGTCTTTCTCTTCTGGCCTTTTGTGCAAATCTGGAATAACAGATGGAGCAGAAGCGATGTTATTTTTTAGGATATTGAAAGTGAATATAGAGTAAAAGTTTGCATTTCACTTTGATAAAATATTTGCTGGAGTTTAGGCTATAACGTGGGAGATTTAAAAGCATCCCCACTGCTGAAACCTCTGTATTGTATTCCTGTATGGTAGTGCTGCTGTTGAGGTAATCTGCCTGGCAAAGGTGTGAGAAGCCAAAAAAACAAAATGAGGAGAAAGCAGGTTATCCGTCTCAGAGGGGAAGGAGAAGTAAATGCATCTTTAAACACTTCCTGTGATTGAGGACGGAGGGATGTGCTGTGAAGAAGTGTGATATTACAATTCTCTTTTGGTAACAATTGCAATCTTTCAGAAACACTAGTGAGATCATCAAATAAGTGATACACCCCGGCATTGCTCACACACTCTGCACTTCAGTGGCTAAACCTCTCTATTAACATTAAGCCATTGACAATGATTGTTTTTCTTTTGCCATCTTAAATTGACAAGATGGAAAGACCTAATAGTGAATCAGTGTGCTTCTGTTATTCTTGAGCAGAAGGAAAACTATAGCAACTGTACTTGTCTCTTCTTGCACACCTCAAGGAAACAGCTAGATGTGTTTTGTGTGTGCTCGTGCGTGCGTTCATCGTGTGAACCTGACCCCTACGGGAGTAAACTCAAAGCAACATTTCAATCAACACCTCTTAGTTGATTGTCCTTTAAAAAAAAGTGTAATGTAAGTTGTTAATAGTGCTTTGTGTACCTACTAGGGGTGCGCACACCTACTCACACACACACATTCAAAGACATTGAGAGGCGGGTCGGTCTGGCATGAGAAGGCTCCAATCAGCAGATTTTGAATCTAAAGCTGAAGGGCACCGGAGCAAAATCTGGGCTCCCAATCAATCAATGTCCAGTTTACATTTTGCCATCCGCAGTTGTATAAAACATTGTATAGATCTTATTTCTACCATTCCAACGTTCAAAACACTGCATACAGGAATGTGTATTGATGAACCTGACCTTGATACAACTTTCATATATCTGCCTCATAATGTTTTTAGTTTATTGGTGTGATCGTACCTGAATGTCAAAAGCATTGAGAGAACTATTCTCCAAAGCCGAAAAGCCCATAAAGGTGTGCGGCAGGCGGCAGCTGTTCGCCCTGGCAGAGGAAGCACATTCCTGAAATGGACGGCTGCTTGGGCAGGATATGGCCAACCTGCACCGGTGTTAGCAGGATTACACTGGACCTGCCCCAAGCCCACTACAGCCTGCTGTGGCCCTGGACACATTACACCTGACTTTCATGTTAGAAAACTCCTAAAATTGAGAAAAGAGTGGAGATTAAGGGTGATGTCCTGCAAGTTCAGGTCTGAGAGAGGACACCAGGTCATAGGTAAA